GGTCCTTTATAATGTAACAGTCAATTCAATGGTGGCCTTTATAATGTGACAGTCAATTCAATGGTGGCCTTTTAATGTGACAGTCAATTCATGGTGGCCTTTATAATGTGACAGTCAATTCGATGGGGTCCTTTATAATGTGACAGTCAATTCAATGGGGTCCTTTATAATGTGACAGTCAATTCAATGGTGGCCTTTATAATGTGACAGTCAATTCAATTGGGTCATTTATAATGTGACAGTCAGTTGGTTAAAATAGTAGCCCAAGTTCCATTTTGGAACACTTGCATTAACTACTCCGCCCAAAAAACGTACATCACGTATAATAGTTAAACGAACTGTCTAAATGTCACGTTAGTGTAGCCTATATAATGTGTAAAGTTTAGTACACTCTAATCCCATATGGTGATGGCACACATTCGGCATGTAATGCTGTTTGAATACAAGAAGGGAAACAACGCCTCTGTAGCCACAAAGAATATCAAAGAAGTTTATGGAAATGTTTTGAACGTTCGTAAGTGTCAACGATGGTTCAGCAAATTTCGTTCAGGAGACTTTAGCCTTAAAAACTGTGATGGCAGGAGCCGACATGTTGGAATTGATATTGATGCTCTGAAGACTCATATTGAGTCTAACCCAAGGCAACACACTCGTGAAATGGCCCTGAAAAAAAAAATCATGTTTCTAATGAAACAATACGTAAAGGAATATGGGAAAACTCCACAAAGAAGGTGTTTGGGTGCCTCTCAAACTCTCTAATGATCACCGTTTCCAACATGTGAACGTCTCTTCTGGCGCGTAAATGCACGTGAACCATTTTTGGACAGAATTGTCACCGGTCTCTTTGCGAATATTGGCGTGGGTGGTGATGACAAGCTGCCTTCCCTCTAGTCTTTCGCTGCTAAGTTAGGGATGGCTAGCGCAGATGGCCCTCGTGTAGCTTTGCGCGAAATTCGTAACAAGCAAACAAACCTATCAAATTATTTTATGTACAGGTTTTTCTCAATATATGTTCCTCTGTGTTAAGATATTATTTAAGTATTTACATCATTATCGAGTTATTTTTAACGTAGGGGTGTCTTACCTTTTATTTAATGGACTAAAACCTTTCGTATGGTTGGGGGTATCTCATTTCTTGTGGCTCAGCGGCAAGTCTGTGGGGTTATCACGCTATAACTACAATTTCGATACTCGCGGTGGGCAGAGCACAGATAGCCCATTATGTAGCTTTGTTTCTTGACAACAAACAAACAAAACCACAAAGTATTCCTCGCACTAGTTGTGGGTTCGTTAAAGAGTAGTAGTCAATATTCTAGCGTAGGTGGTAGGGAGCTGTTGACTGGCTGTCTCTGTCCAGTAGTTGAAATTTAGGGACAACAGCAGATAGCCTTAACAACTTTGCCATAAATACAAATGCCTATGATTGGTCAACATAAAAAATGTAAATCTTCACATTTATTTTCAGATAATTAATTATCCTTTTCGTTTATCTACAAACTAACTTTAGAAAATTAACCTCGGTTAAGAATATAAAAAAGGGGTTACACTGTATAATTGGATGCTATGTATTTCATGGTCTCAAAGTATTTCGAGTCAATGGTACCATTATTAACTCTCGGGACCAGGCGTGGCCCAGTTGTTAGCGTGCTGGACTGTGAATTCAACTGTCCGTGGTTCGCGTTTAGTTGCCACAAAATTCGCGCTTCACACTTTGGAACCGCGTATGCGTTATAAGAGCGACGTTCGAATCCCACTACTTGATCAGAGTAGCCATTGATTTTACGGTGAGTGCTATTGACTAGCTGCCTTCCCTCTTTTATCAGTTCAAAATTAAGAACGGCTAGTGTAGTCTTGCGCAAATATCCAAAACAAACAAATCACAAACTCTCGTTCTAATGTCGTCTGTACATGCTCAAAAACCGAGGAGCAAACTGTTATATATATATATATAGAAAGGGAAATATTATTAAACATTTTAAACCGAGAGTGAGAGACTGATAATCGGAACATCTCGCGCTCTAAAGGAGATTTGAAGAAATATATTAATGCGCGTCCATTTTGAACAACAGAGAAAAGAACTAGAACCTAAAGACGATTGTCCTGGAGGGTTCTTATGAAAAGATTTCCCATCAACACTCGCGGGCCAATCAAGTGAGAAAAAAGTTGTTGCTTTTTTTAAAATAGTTTTTTGGTTGTTATTGGCTATAGGGTTAAAATTATTTTATGATGAAAAGTACTGTATTTTTAATGTTCAAGTGTTTCAAAAACAAATGCAAACCCATATCGTTTGTGGTGTGACAAAAATTGTCTTAAATAAATGATGCAGTTAAAGTTTGCCCTTCCTGTCTTATAAGTTATCAGTATGCACTCGAAAGATAATCTTTGTGGCCGTTTGAGTGTTTGCAAACCACAGGGGTCAATGTCCTGTCAATGATTTCTGCTCTCACACATTCGTGTATTCAATGATAGTGCCTTACAAGGCTAGGTGGTTATGGCGCTCGACTCACAATCTGAAGGTCGCGGGTTCGAATCCCCGTCCCACCAAACATGAAATTACTGTTTTTAACTTCTTGCAAATTTTACTTTAAAAATCCACAACCAAAAACACGTTACCTCAAAATAGCAAGTAACTGATCAGATTCTTTTCTACACCATCCTTGATTGGTTTGGTTTGGGTTGTTTTGAATTTCGCGCAAAGCTACACGAGAGCTATCAGCGCTATCCCTAATTTAGTAGTGAAAGACTAGAGGGAAGGGAGCTAGTCATCACCACCCACCGCCAACTCATGGGCTACCCTTTTACCAAGGAATAGTGGGATTGACCGTCACATTGTAACGCCCCCAAGGCTGAAAGAGCGAAAAAGTATTTTTACTTCGTAATATGTGGGAGTAAATTAGTGTATATGATACATAATAAACTGTTATCGTACGTTTAAGTAGAACTGGCACAAACAAATAATATTAAATCAACTAATTTTGTCGCAAGATAACTTTGTTAACATTAAACGAATTTAATACTTGAGTTCATTGGTTCATAGAGTTGGAAATTAGGCAGATGTAAGATGTTAATTCGATACGTGTCGATTCCAGCAGAGTGTGTGTGTGTTTTTTGGACACCAGGGACGCTGCTGGGCATGAGGCCCGTGCCCCAAATCTGCTTTAAGATCAGACGTAAACTGCATTATATTAACAACGCAATTATGTTTTACTTATTTTAAGTAGTAAAAATTTCTTAAGACTCGAGCTCCGAATTTTTTCGGTAGCTAGCAGCGCCCCCTACTGTGAAAGTGAAAAATACATATTTGAAATGATTAAGACTAAAACGTTATTGTTATTTAGTATATTTCTTCACCTGAACGAAATCACTGATGATTTTTTTTAAGGGGATCCTATTGATGTAAAGTCTTATATGTTAACATTTCTCCGCGTGGTAGGTTTGATAACGAGATAATACTCTGAACTACCGGCGATTTTAGGATCACAATAGAAACAGCGTATCATTAAACCACTTCATAAGCTATCACCCCCTCTCGGTAAGATATGATAAGTTATAAATTCCCAGCGATGTCTAATGCTCCAACAAATAAACGAGTACGTCACTTCGAGCTCGATAAACAAGAAGAATGATCCTGCTGTTGCTTGTTGTTTACGAAGGACTGTTTGCTAGTTATATGGACGCGGTTGGGTTCTCTCTGGACCACCCAAGTGTCAACTGCAAGCCTGAAGATTGTAATGATGTACGACAGCAGGGGTTCTATGAAAGTGGGGTATATCGGATTTGGCCCCGGTACTACAACAAACCTGTCCAGGTTTTTTGTGATATGACAACGGACGGAGGGGGGTGGACGGTAAGAAATCTTAGTCATATTGGCCCATTGCCTAAATGTTTTCTCATTGTTTCTTGCCCTGTCTTATAAAAATATTTCATGATATAGTACAAGAGACGGAATCATTTCTTTGGAAAATGACTAACATCAAAAATAAAGTTCATGCTCAAGTTGGTTGAAAGCACGAAACTTACTTTTATGACCGATTATACCGTCAGATGGCGTAACTATTTAGACGGTACATTTCTCGGAATTGTAATTTATTAGTTTTACTTTGGTTTCATTCTTACTGACGTTCACTAACGAACTGTAAATCGTAAGAAAATGCTAAAGAACTAGTTTGACTTACCTATTGGGCAAATTATGAACTATTTTTTACTACCAAAAATTAATTCCACTGTCATAAAAAAAAACGAATTTTCATCACGATTTTGTCACAGTACTTTGGC